AGATATTCAAGACCCGCCTGGACAAGGTCCTGTGCAGCTGCTGTAGGTGACCCTGCTTCGGCAGAGGGTTGGACTAGATGACCCACAGAGGTCCCTTCCAACCCCTACTATTCTGTGATATTCTGTGATATTCTGTGAAAGCCGAGTGAATTTTGACAAAAGCCATCCAGCCGACTTCGCAGAGGAGATAACTCGGCTGGTTGCACAAAATTCAAGTGGTCGCGTATTAAATTGTGCCGTAAAAAGTTCTGTCCACCTGGAATTTCACAGCTGCTGCGTGAATTCCTGCTCTAGACGCTGCTAACAGTGCCGTGCTAATGCAGATATGAAAACAGGGGGAAAGCTCGATCATCTGAGCCGCTTGGTGAGCGCTGTCTGCTGGAGTGCTTCGTATCGGAACCCACAAAGCTGGGCTTCGCATCCCGTTAGTCCGCGGAGGGGGACCCGGAGGCAGAGCTTCGTCCGCTGGTGAAGCGCGGGCGTTGCTGCGTTGCTCGCTGGGTTTCACCTTCAGGGTTTCTTGTCCCAAAGCTGGGCTGCTTGTCCTGGGGGCTGCGTCGCTGCAGCTCGAGCCTTGCTCTGCGTGGTGTTCATAAGCGGGAGGAGACCCGACGCGGCTCGGTGCTCTCTCCAGGGCTGGGGAGCAAAGGGCTGAGCCCTGCCCACCTGCGAAAGGAGGGCAGAATTATTTTGGATTTTTCCCATGGGGATATCTAAAGAATGTGAAAAATAGGGATTTTTCTTCATCACTTTTCATGATTTTTGCAGTGGAGGTTGGGTAAAGGCAGCAAAGGGGCAAATGGCTCCTCCTGGGTGCCCCCCCAGCCAGGGCCCTGGATGTACTGGGTGCATCACGAGGAGCGTGGGCAGCAGGGCGAGGGAGGTTCTCCTCCCCCTCTGCTCTGCCCTGGGGAGGCCCCATCTGCAGTGCTGTGTCCAGTGCTGGGCTCCCCAGTTCCAGAAAGATGAGGAGCTACTGGAGAGAGTCCAGCAGAGGGCTACGAGGATGAGGAGGGGCCTGGAGCATCTCTCCTACGAGGAGAGGCTGAGGGAGCTGGGCTTGTTCAGCCTGGAGAAGAGAAGGCTGAGAGGGGACCTTA